CCTTGGCAGTGAAAGGGCAGAGTCCTAAACACTGGAGCACCAGGGAATTCCCAATAACTTCTGATTTAAGTCAAGAAGTTCCAGAATGCAGAGGCCACATCTTTCTTCACTTGTCTCATACTCAGAATTTTCTAAAGAATTGAAAGCTTACCAAATAAGTTAAAGAATAGGGAGAATGTCACATCTGAAAGAGTAGGGAACAGACTCTGCCATGTCCCCTGCCTCTTGTTTGTAGAAACGCTTTAGTGCCTTAGGCCTTCCCAAGTTCCAGTGACCAGATTTAATCACAGAAGTGAGAAAACGCAGAAACAAAGGAAAACAGTCAAGCAACATAAAATAATAATCCTTTAGCCATAAAACAAAGTCAAGGACATTTAGCTCCTCTGTAATGCTATAGATAATATCCTGGGCCATATCCTTGAGTTGTTTTGCAGATACTAAAATCCCCACCAGGTGGGAGAAGTTAACTACTCCTACTGACCACCAGCACATAGACCCCAGACCGGTTAGAACCAGAAGGTTGATGATCTTGACTCCAGAAATACCATCCAGTTACCTCACCACCAACCAATCAGAAGAATGTCTACCAACTGATCAGGCACCCTGCAAACCTCTCCCTCACACTGTCTTTAAAAACCCTTCCCTGAAAGCCATTGGGGAGTTTGGGTCTTTTGAGCAGGATGTGCTGGGTCTCCTTGCTCAGCCCCATGTTGGGCACCTTGCAATAAATGCTCTATTTTCCTTCACCACAACCTGGCATCAGTAGATTGTATTTGCTGCATGTAGGGGGGTAGCAGACCCAAGTTTAGTTTGGTAACACATCCCTGTGCAAATTGTTTTCAAATAAATCCTCATCTGAAAGGGCCTTAATTTTTTTTTCAAGCACTTGCTCTTTCACTAAGCCTACCTAATTCTCATTCTCTGCACTTCTCAACAATTATCAGTAGACAGAGAATTAATATTATTACTTTGCATCACTATTACTACTATTATTGCTTGACCTTTACTGCATATTTTTTATTTTATGGGCCAGCAAAGTGTATTAAATCACTTAATCTTCACAATTCTATTTTACACCCATTTTACTATTGAGGAAACAAGAGCGTTAATTAATTTGCCCAAGGTCACACACCTAGTGAATACGAGTTACTGTGGGTTTTTTTTCACTCTCTACATGCTGTGTTTTCAACATGTGTGTTAAATGAACCGAATCAACCTTACAGTTCCAGGAGCAGAGACTTAGGCATCTATCATTTGTGTTTTGCCACTGAAAATTTAGGGTGGTTCTGGGTCTCGGAGAAGCGTCTGTCATGTAGAAATAGCAGCTAAGTAACGATACTATCTGAGGAAGGTGGATGGTGAGAATTAGATACACAAAAAAACTGCTCAGTTTTAAAGGAGAATTTTTTCTCTTGCATTTTGGTTGCATTTCTTATTAAGGACCAGTTAATTCTTGCTGATAATCAGAAGACCACACTTCCTAAATTATCTAAGCAAAAATTTCTCCTTGAAGTATTTTTTTTTCCCTAACAAATTCCAGTAGAAAATTCACAGTTCTGGAAAATCTACAATTGCCTTGTTGCTTTAGTATTTGAAGATTGGGGTGAATAAAATTCAGAATAGTTTTAATTAAAAAAATAATCTATCCTAGTTTTAATTACTCAAAAATATAAAACCTTTTTAAAATAGGAGTTTTAAAAAATTACTTCTGTAATCTCTTAAGCAAAATTTCAATTCTTTATTATGTAGGTTATTTCCTCATTAATACAAAAATCAGCCATAATTTGGGATTATGGATGAACATATCAATTATTGAGAAGACCCAAACATTACTGAGCTTTCAGCAATGATAAGACAGTCAGATGCACAGCAAAACTTCAGCCTAACATCTTTTTAATCTGATGTCCCTGGTCAAAGAACTACATTGAAATGCTTGGCTTGTATCAAATTTCCTGTAAAGATGTTAAAAATCTTTATCTCCCATAACCTATTTTAGAGAAATTTCACATGATGGATGATGCATCATACCCCAGATCCATAACTGACAAGTTTATACTTGCATCTTATAAATTCAAACAAGCAATAAAAGCAGAATGACTGGAAGCTTTGTTTTCAAATGATGTCATCAGTAATATTCGCTTTAAGTTTAGTTTTTCTTTAGGATAATTTCAGAGGCCTTGAAGAACAAGAGCCTAACTATCCAGGATCTTCAGTTTGCACCATTTTCTTCTGGCATATCCAGGATTCTGTATCGTTAAGGGTTAAACATAGAAGAACTGGCAAAGTGTGAACATGAAGAAATGTAACATCATTGTGCTTTTAATATATATCACAATATTATTAGTTTAATAAAAAGTTTTACATGTTTATCTATTCACTTGAAGGTTGTAGAACCATAGTGCTGCATATCCTTTTATACTTCTATTCGTAAGAGTGCCTATACATTCTTATTGAAATGAAATGTTTGAAATATTATGTACATTATTTCTAAGAAAAACATGAGCTACTTGAGTTTTTTTCAACTTGAATTAAAAAAAAGCAGTGTCATAGAATATTAAAGCAGAATAGCAAATGCCAGTCTTATAAATATTAACACTAGATTTACAGCATTTTAGCTTTCTAAAAAAGGAAAAATAAACTTGTCAGTTATTAAACAATTTGGGTTTAATAATAATGAATGCACAGTTGCTGACTGACATATTTACTGATTTACACTTATGTTTATATGTGCTAAATTTGACAAAATTCATATTCAAGTTTGAACTTGACATGTAAATATTTTTTAAAATTCAAATTTCTTTTACACTTTGTTTATGTTATCATCTATATTTCCAAAGTTTTATCTTTGGAGAATCCAGACTTTAATTATTTTCCTATTAAAATTTTTGGAACTGCAACTGTATTTTAACAGTTACCTAGTTCTGTATTTGTGAGGAGATTTTAAAGGGAGAATGAGTACCTTCACAAATTTTTTAAAGATTTCCTCAGAGTCTGTAGCCAGTATCGACATGTATACTTATCTCTTTCTTTTCAATGCCATGAATCATTACAAATGTCAGGTTCATTGTTGTGGCATGCTGAAATGATTGAGTGGGAACTGTGTCCAGCACTGTATTGTAAAACAATTGATCTCCAAACACGTTGTTCTACAGCATGCATCGGCCCAACTAGATTTTCTTTGACGCTTTCATGACTGCTCTTTTGTTTGGTCTTGGAGAATTTAAAGCTCAAATTTGAACACAATATTAAGACTATCTGCAGTGAATCTGTGCCTGTTATCTAGAGTCATCTACTTTTGGGATTGCATTCTGTATTTTTCCTTTACTTCAGTCATGTAATCAGAATGTATAAGTGAAGTTTGTTATATGCTATTCTAGTGGATTAGAAATCCCATTCTTTATCTATGTGCAAATGGGATTAAATTTGGTTTTCTTGGTAAAGGAAAACCTTAGAACCAACCCATAGCAGTCTCTTTACCGTCTATGTTAAGTCATCCCCATTTGGAAAATCCAATATTGTTTTATCCCCCATTGGTGAATGTGTGAAAATGTATGAGTTCCAAAGTTCAGCCTTTGTTAGCACAAAAGCAACACAAGTGAAGATGTTTGCCTAGGTCTATTAAAATTGTATTTCTAGATAGAACTTTTGAATGACAAATGCTGCAGGCTTTCATAAAGAGCTAGAAAATATAGACTTGATATAGAGGATAAAGAGCAAAAGATGACAGTAAAAGAAATTTTTGAAGAAAAGAGGAGAAAAAATATAAAACTCAAAGTTACTTTTCTTTTAATAGCAGTCGTTTTCTTTCTTGAAGTTGTGGGATTTTTTCAATACCTGCTTATTTTCTGCAAGACAAGGGTTTATAGATGGCGCTCTAAAGCATTTGCCGGAAGGTGGCGACATAGCCCTCATTGCCTAGAGCTGTCCCAGGTGCTGAACCCAGTTTCGGAGACCACGAGAAACTCTGCTGCCAGCGACCAGGGATTCCACCAAGTTCTCCCTAGAGGCCTGCAAACTCTGGTTAGAAAAGCAAAAGGCCATAAAAATGCCCGGCCTCATTTATAACACAAAGACAAAAAAATTCCCTTCCCTAAATTTACTTGCTGCGGAGCTGTGGGAAATGGCAATGTTCACTGAAATTTAAAACGCAATGGAGATGGAAAGGCAGGTGTGTGTGTGTGTGTGTGTGTGTGTGTGTGTGTGTGTGTGTGTGTAGAATGCATACCGAATTGATTATTTTCTTCACTTTGAGATGCAGCTGTTTACCTGTCCTTTGACCTGTTCTTTATAATTACTTTCTCCCCCAATTCCTCAAGGTTAAAAAAAGGCAGAGGCAATATCCTCCCCAAAGGAGACAGGCTGGACTGTGCGATGATAAACGGGGGTGATTTTTAAAAAGCTAAGACACATTCCCTTTTCTTTCCATGAATTAGTAATAATTTACAGACTGACCCAGGACTGTCCACCTCCCCACTCAGGCTCCGTGTGTCTCCTTTTCTCATTTCCTATTGCCACTCTGTGATGCTGACTCTACTTAAGAATTTGACAGAAATATGAAGCAATTAACGTGGTTAGATTTGTTTTCCCTCTAGTTTGGCCGGGTGGGAGGCGGAGTTATTTGTTGTAATGTTAGTCTGACCGGCGGATCGGGTGCGTGTAAGCTAGTTCTGAGTCTCGGTCAACAAAAAGGGATTTGAACGCAAAGAGGCTGAGCTAGAGGGAGAGGAGGGCGGGGAACCAGGGGAAAGAGGCACTCAGGGTTGGGGAAGTGTCGGGAGGGGAGGGGGGAGGGTTAGCGTAGGAGAGAGGTAGACTGGCTGTCGGAGCAACACCGGGGAGATAAAGGGAAGTGAGAAGGGAGAGGGAGACTGAAAGGGAAAACTAGTGGGAGAAAGGGAAAGAGAGAGGGGGCTTAAGGGAATGAGAAGAGAGTAGAGGAGGGAGTGGGAGAGAGGGAGGGAGAGAAGCAAGGAGAGGAGGGTTACAGAGTGACTGTGGAGGACGGTGTTTCTCTATTCCAGATACTTCTAAGATTGGAGATTCTTTTCTGGTGGGGAGACTCCGGGTCTGGCAGCCAGTTAGGCAGTGGCAAAATAAAATGGACAGCGAGAGACAAACGTTCCAGCCACCTTTCCGCCTCCCGGAGATCCCGGAGCTCTTCTCCAGCCAATTCGTTTCCCAGCTGGAGTCTCTGAGCGCGCTGGACTACGAGAGCCCAGGGAGCACCTAGAAGCTAGCTGCTCCTCGGAGATGCCTTCGCCTGAGCAGTAAGAACTTCCTGCTTGAGTCCCTGCATCCCCTCCCCCGTTGAAATTCCCCAGGAAAGAGGGGCGGAAGACCCCGGGGGGAGGGGCGAGGGGTATCCTGGCGCAGCTCTTTCTCCCCTCCCCTCCCCTGCCGGGCGCGCAGGCATGGATGTGCTCAGCCCCTTACAGGGCAACAACACTACGTCGTCCCAGGGTCCCTTCGGGACACGCGCCAACGCTACTGGCATCTCCGACGTGACCTTCAGCTACCAAGTGATCACCTCTCTGCTGCTGGGCACGCTCATCTTCTGCGCGGTGCTGGGCAATGCGTGCGTGGTGGCCGCCATAGCCTTGGAGCGCTCCCTGCAGAACGTGGCGAACTATCTTATAGGCTCGTTGGCCGTCACAGACCTCATGGTGTCGGTGCTGGTGCTGCCCATGGCCGCGTTGTACCAGGTGCTCAACAAGTGGACTCTGGGACAGGTCACCTGTGACCTGTTCATCGCCCTCGACGTGCTGTGCTGCACCTCGTCCATCCTGCACCTGTGCGCTATCGCGCTGGACAGGTACTGGGCCATCACAGACCCCATCGACTACGTGAACAAGAGGACGCCCCGGCGCGCAGCTGCACTCATCTCGCTCACCTGGCTCATTGGCTTCCTCATCTCCATCCCGCCCATGCTGGGCTGGCGTACCCCGGAAGACCGCTCGGACCCCGACGCGTGCACCATCAGCAAGGACCATGGCTACACTATTTACTCCACCTTTGGCGCTTTCTACATCCCGCTGCTGCTTATGCTGGTTCTCTACGGGCGCATCTTCCGAGCCGCGCGATTCCGCATCCGCAAGACAGTCAAGAAGGAGGAGAAGAAGGTAGCCAACAACCGCCTTGGGGCGTCGCCAGCCCCGCAGCCCAGAAAGAGCGTAAATGGTGAGCCGGGTAGCAAAGACTGGAGGCCGGGCATGGAGAACAAGGCAACAGGGGCTCCGTGCGCCAATGGAGCCGTGAGGCAGGGCGACGAAGGAGCCGCCCTGGAAGTGATCGAAGTGCACCGGGTGGGCAACTCCAAAGAGCACCTGCCGCTGCCCAGCGAGGCCGGTGCTGTCCCCTGCGTCCCCGCCTCCTTCGAGAAGAAAAATGAGCGCAACGCCGAGGCCAAGCGTAAGATGGCCCTGGCCCGCGAGAGGAAGACGGTGAAGACGCTGGGCATCATCATGGGCACCTTCATCCTCTGCTGGTTGCCCTTCTTCATCGTGGCCCTGGTCCTGCCCTTCTGCGAAAGCAGCTGCCACATGCCCACCCTGTTGGGCGCCATAATCAACTGGCTGGGCTACTCCAACTCTCTGCTCAACCCTGTCATTTACGCCTACTTCAACAAGGACTTCCAAAACGCATTTAAGAAGATCATAAAGTGCAAGTTCTGCCGCCGATGATGATGGAGGCGTAGCTGGCGCGTAGGCCTACTCCACCCAGCCCTCTGGAATCAAAACCTTTGCTACTTTTCCTCTAACATTCACATCTGCTCCGCGCGCTGCTTCCAAACCCCCTCCCCCTCCCCCAGCCCTCTATTCCCAGCGGGGAAGGAGGGAGCCCCATGCAAAGAGGCTACAGCCGCGGGGCAAGAGAGTCTGGGAAAAACTTAGAGTCTGTGAGAGGCGACCTTGGCTCAAACTTTGGTCTGGGAATCACTTTTGATTCCAGCAATTGCCTCCTCCCTCTTCTGCCCCCAAATCTTCGCGGCGGAAGTTTAAGCCTTACCCGTTCAAGGCAAAAAATCCACACAGAAGAAGAAAGTGTACACCCAGCCGCCGCGCCCACTAAAGGCTCCCACCTGATCGCCTCACTGCTACAACTTGAACTTAAGGTTCAGGACTTTGCTTCATTCCCCAGCAACCCCATCCCAGCCCGCCTTCTTGCCCTAGAAACGTTCACTGTTTTTGCGGTCTCATCCCTTATTTCCTTTTCCATCTTCCCTTTATGCCCTCGCGAGTCTCTATGCACTAAATTGCTAGTCGGGAAATCTGGGAGGGTCTGCTTTTCCCGGTGCCTAAGGTGTCCCCGGGAATCTCCGCCTCCTGGTGCAGATTCCCAGAGTAACTCGCCCGGGAACAGCCCCATGCTTTGTTTTCTTGGATTCAAAACAAGTGGCTGGAAGTTGTCTCTTAGAGTGGACCTGTAAGTACAAGGCTAGAGCAGTGGGGCAGAGCGAGGTAGAACGAATTTACCCTTGCCTGCCTTGGTGTCAGCACTCACCAAAGAAGCTGACAGTCATTGGGAAGGGAGAGCGGACTTCTGTTATTACAGGTTGCTGGCGAGTCTGAACTGGCTGGCATCGCCACTTACCTACTGTGGGAGGCGCCCGCCGACCACGCTGCGCGCGCTGGGGCAAGGTGGGGGGGGGGTCGTGCCACGTGCAGGGAATCCCCGAGCCTTGCGCCCTCTCTGAGGTCTGGCGTGCGCTCAGCGCGCACTGAAAACTAATCCCGACTGGAGCCTTCCCTCCGCCTACGCCCCAGGACCAGCTGAAGAGAGGGTAAACAACAGTTAAGGTTTGCGGAAACCGGCGCTTCTAGGTCCAGCCAAGCTCTAGAGACCAGAAAGACCAGCAAGTCCCACGGGGTGGCGTTTTCCAGGTGGGCCCGAGCTCTAGCTGGCACTCCCCTTGGAAACTGAAAGAGCAAGTTTATCCAAAAGAAGCAGATTCTTTTCCTCCTAATTCCACCCCTCGCCCTTTTCGGATAGGGAGATAGGTCTGTTTAGCGCATCCTAACACTGCACAGGATTTGTTCTGCAGGACGTCCAGGACACTTAGTTAACCACGACTTTGGTTCCCTAAAGGGAAATTTGGGCTTTCAGTAGAATGGGCCCCCGATCTGTGACCTCACAGGCGCTTACCTTAAATAATGAGGCCCTAAAGAACTAGCTAGGTGTGCTCTCTCTGCAGAGTCCTGGAGACTCTTGTACATTTGCTCCTTGGCCTGACTGCCCTGCAACACAGGTTTGCCAGGAAACCGGCCTCTTGCCATTTGAATATGTGGAGTACTCCAAGCTTTCTTCCCCTTAAAAGTATTCTTTCAGCCTTGCCACTCCTGCTGAAAAACTGGTTATCTTTACTGTCCCCAGAAGGGAAGTTTTTCGGTGCTCCATTTGAATGTAAATTTCCATCCATGTGACCGGGGTCAAGAGGTTTGTTATAGTTAAATTCGTTTTCCAATAATTGCACAACATTATTGATTCTTACGCCCCTCTCCCTTCATGTGTACCTTTTGAATGATTGCTTGGGCTGTTTTGAGAGCCATGTTGCAAAAGTTGCCAATGAAAAAGTTCACTTGTGTTAAAATTAAGGTGAAAAGACAGCTCTATCACTTGTAGCCATTTTATTGTTTGCCAAACCGAACAAAGCTCCATTTGGTATCTTTTTCTCGGACCTAAACTGAGAGTAAGCATCGTCTCCCATTAATATAGAGAAACTATAAGAACTATGGGAACTTAGTGGATGGTTTGTCTATGCATATGTAATGCTTGAAAGGGACTATGGTGGATAACATGAGGGAGACTTCTGCAGTCCATCAGTTATTTATTCGAAAATTCATTTTCTTTTTTGCTCACAATAATTTAAGTAGAGCCATATGAAAAAACAAACTTTGCTGTATGTCTTTCTAAATTTTAAGAACAAATTCTACATATAAAATAATTCAAGTCTGAAATTTGCTCATCCAAATTATGCCTTGGTCAGCATTTGAAGTCTTGAGACTTCTATTTAGTTGTGTCTTTTACAGAACTATGGCAATGGCTTTTGGGCATTTGTTCTTCCTGCTTTGGAGGATTTACACAAGAATGGGGAAGGAGCATCCAACTGGAGTATATAATTGCCAAAGCAATAGAGAAATTTGAGGAATAAGTGCAAAAGAGCTGCATAGCACTAAAGAACCCCTGATGCTTTTTTTTTCCTTTTAAAGTATTGCATTAAGGTAAAGTATATATGCATTAAAATTGACCTTTACTCTTCCCTGTGACAATAAAGGACTTTAATCATTGTAATGCTACAATAAACTGATATCAGTAACACATGCATCTTTATTTTAATCAGAATCGCTGTCTACTTGTATTTATTTGTATAATTTTAAAGCTGAAGTTAAAAAATACAGTTATCAGGAGAAGATCCTGCTATACACATCAGGGATCTGTCACTTAGAGAAACAAATTTAGTTTTAGTACAGAAACTCATTGTAGATGAGTGAGTTCTGTTTTAAAAATTCCTGTCTCTGGAATTAGAAGGTAACATTTCATCTTTTAGCCGTGAGACCATGCATTTTCCCTGACACCTACTAGTGAAGATTTAGGCATCTGTCTAATTAATATGGACAGGGTGGGGGACTTATAGAAGAGAAATGCAGCCTCTAGTATAAGCACCAGGGGCTCATGCTTCCTTTTTAAAGCAGTGGGTGGTGATGAACCACCTTCTCTGTCTTCCCCCCAATGTCCAGCTGGAAGAAAATAGCCTCCCTAGTTTCAAATGAAGTAACACATTGTTTTGGGGTTTGTCACTCATTAAAAGTGGAAAGGCAACTTCCTTTCTGGCTGGGTCTCATTTGATAGTGGGGTTTTATATGTAAGATCTTTTACTATATTAAAATTAATTCAAATGCTCTCTTTTTCCATACTGGAATCATCAGTAAGGCCTTTTGTTTCCCATGTTATGTTTGTTAATTTCACTGTTTTCTGGTGTCAGAATGAGGGTTGCAGGGCAGGGTAAACCCTAGTAAGCCTCAAGGGGAAAACAAAGTTCAGAGCTATTATGGCCACAGAAGAGGGCACTCTGAAGCTGTGTGAAGCCTAATTTAGGCTGTGTATGTACATACATATTCTCCCAATAATGAAAAGGTAAGACAGGAATTGAGGGTTTTTCATTTGAAAAGTGTTACATAAACACATCCCTGACCTTGAGTAAAATGATGCATTTGGCACATTTGTCTTCTAGATTCTGGGTATTTCCCTTCTTGGCCTCTGCTCTCTTCCCTGGTGTCTCTTCCTCCAAGCAGACAGTAGCTTTTTTTTTTCTACAGGGCTTCTGAACCTTTATCAACACTCCAATTAGGAGAGAGAGAATTTTTATCAGTTGCTTCCAGTGTGACTAACAAGCCCAGATAACCAATTAGCAGCTATCACATGTCAGGCTCTATTGGATAATGTTGAAATATGGGACTATAAAGTAATATAAGCTGCTGTTGGCACATTGAAGGAGTTTCAACCTACTTGGGTATTCAAGAATAAATTACTATGGTTAAGTAAACACTCACAGCAGAATATATGTATCATCTAAACAGGACAAATCACAGGAATTTGGCTCTATAAGGATTCAGAGGACAAGATCACTGTGGGCTGGGCGTGGGTAGGGAAGATTAGGTAGGGAAAGCTGTGTAGAGCAACAAGGATTAACCTCTGAATACATGAGGAGTGATATAAAAGGCCAAACATTCTTCATGAGGTGCCAAATACAGCCTGATTCCCTTTTTCTGTCAAGTGGGGGACCTGGAATGAAATTTTTACCTGTATTCCTACGTGTATCAGTCTGGGTTGATTATGAAGGTGGTAATGCTAGAGAAAGATGCAGGATCAAAACTTCCCATGTGTTATAACAACATAAAGTGTCTGGGAATAGAGAGAGAAGATGAGTCTAGAACCAAAGGAATGGGGATTAAGGTAACTAGATAGAGGAAGAATGTTCTGAGCAGAGTAAGGGGCAGAGCATAGGAATAAGGAGAAACTCATTAAACCATTAAACAGTGACAACAGGGTGACCGGGGTAGGTACAACAATTCACATTTATGTAATGTTTGTGATTTTGCCCAGTGATTTTCACAAATAATATGCAACTTAAATTTGAAATAGCAGATCCTTCTGGAAATACTAATTAGACCATTTTAGCCAAAGCAGAAGATTCACATAGTAATTGGTACATACATAAAAATATGCTAGAGATCATATATGGAAGCATTATAATACCAGGTTAAAAACAAGAACTATAGTTTTAAGTGGGGAACCACTAATAATGAAAGCAGAAGTGTATTGTTTGCAGGTAATTTCAATGGTGCATGTGTGAAACAATAAATGCCTGAATGTGGGATGCTGGTAAGACTGACAAATGCAGCAGAGAGAGAACTGGCAAGGGTTGGTGCCTGGATGTGAAGAGAAAGGGAGCTAAAAATGCCAGTGCGGTTTTGAGCCAAGGAGATTTGGGCGAATGACAGAAACGGGAAAGTCCAGAGTTGCTTCTCCTACGGGTCTTTGTTTTTTCAGCTCTATCTATAAATATGAAAAGGCTTTGTTCTCTGCTAAAAGAATTCCCAGCCCAGATGGAAGGGATCTGCTGATAAAGGTACTGATACACATGGCACAGCATTTGAACAATCTGTCATTTGGGTGATTATGTGAAGAATACCACCTCATAG